CGAGTCCTTCGAGGTGCTGGTGGACTACTGCTACACGGGCCGCGTGTCGCTGAGCGAGGCCAACGTGCAGCGGCTGTACGCCGCCTCCGACATGCTGCAGCTGGAGTACGTGCGCGAGGCCTGCGCCTCCTTCCTGGCTCGCCGCCTGGACCTGGCCAACTGCACTCCCATCCTCAAGTTCGCCGACGCCTTCGACCACCACAAGCTGCGGGCTCAGGCCCAGTCCTTCATCGCGCACAACTTCAAGCAGCTGAGCAGGATGGGTAGCATCCGCGAGGAGACGCTGGCCGACCTCACCCTGGCCCAGCTGCTGGCCGTCCTGCGCCTGGACAGTCTGGACATAGAGAGCGAGCGGACCGTTTGTCACGTGGCCGTGCAGTGGCTGGAGGCGGCCCCCAAAGAGCGAGGGCCCAGTGCTGCCGAGGTCTTGAAGTGTGTGCGCTGGGCACACTTCACTGAAGAGGACCGGGACTACCTGGAAGGGCTGCTGACCAAGCCCATTGTGAAGAAGTATTGTCTGGACGCTATTGAAGGGGCCCTGCAGATGCGCTATGGCGATATGTTGTACAAGCCTCTGGGGTCGAAGCCAAACAGCAGTGGAGGTGGCAATAGCAGCAGCAGCAGCAGCAGCAGTAGCAGCAGCAGCAGCAACAGCAGCAGCAGCTCTGTTGTATCTGTGGCCGAGAAGCCACCCCAGAGGCTGGGAATGTGTGCCAAGGAGATGGTGATCTTCTTTGGTCACCCCAGAGATCCCTTTCTCTGCTATGACCCCTACTCCGGTGACATTTACACAATGCCTTCACCTTTGACTAGCTCGGCACACACTAAGACTATCACGTCTTCGGCTGTCTGTGTCTCTCCAGATCATGACATCTACCTAGCTGCCCAACCCAGGAAAGACCTCTGGGTGTATAAGCCAGCCCAAAATAGTTGGCAGCAACTGGCAGATCGCCTGCTGTGTCGTGAGGGCATGGATGTGGCCTATCTGAATGGCTACATTTACATTTTGGGTGGACGAGACCCTGTCACTGGAGTCAAATTGAAGGAAGTGGAATGCTACAGTGTTCAGAGGAACCAGTGGGCACTGGTGGCTCCTGTACCCCATTCGTTTTATTCCTTTGAACTAATAGTA